AACAACACACACTCATACCCATAGAGGGGTCGGAGAGAGCTATGGGTGCGCGTTGGGGGTCCCCGCTCGAACGGGAGCGTTCCCCAGGGTCCGACAACCCGCACCCATACCCATAGCCAGTCCTCCTCCCAACGACCCCCCTATGGGTATGGGTGTGTGTTGCTCGTTCGTCAAAACCACCTCAAGCCAACCCGAAGGCCTCAATTTGCCCTCCATTTCCAGTGTGTGGGGGGGGTCGGGGAACATCGAGAGAACACAGATGGAACCCGTACCCCCCCCAAACCCGAAATTCGGGTCTTCGGGTTGGGTTGGGGTGGTCTGGTAGGTAGTCGGAAGGGCGGGTGCTCAGTCGGGCGGTGGCGAAGCGTCCTGGCTCGCCCAGGGCCCACCAAACAATGCTCCAAGAACCTCTTTTGTGGTTTCCATGAGATGTTCTTAGAGTACTTCTGGCTGGGGCTGTCTTGTTTTGACACATGAGATTTAAGTTCTAAGAAATTGTTTTTTGTTCTTAGAACGTGTGTGGGTTCTTAGAACATGTCGTGGTAGGCCTATAGAAATGCCGGGACGATCGGTCCCTGCTCGACTCAGGGGAGGCTAGCAGTCCACGCCCAGGCCCCTTCGGGTCGTGCAAGGCAGCCCACACTGGATGATTCCCTGGGAGACAAATACCCCCCAACATGACCCAGCCCGCCCAGCAATGGAGGTCAAGCTTTCTCCGCCGCGACGACGGCGAAGACGGCGAGGAAGTGGATGGGGGGTGAGTTCATGCGCCGCCGAGAGAGGCAGGATTGGGGGGAGCAAAACGACAGACCTCCTGAACTTACCCAGGCCCCCTCGGGTCATGCAAGAATCGCTGCGGAAGGCTTCTCGCCGTCCGTGGCCTCTGGGAGCCTCGGCCGGGCGTCGGGGCCGACCACAGGCGGCTCGGGACGAGGAGGCAGTCCCGGGGAAGGGGGTCGAGACCTCTAGGCGTCGGCCTCCTGAAAGCGTCATGGCGTCGGGGGTCCGGGCACGGAGCAGCAGTCCACACGAGGTGCCCGGTGCCTGTCCTCTGGACTCAGCCTCTCCTCTGAAGTCGGGCGTGTCCCCCTACAGGGGGAATATCCAAAAATAGTTTAAAACATAGTCAGGGGACTTGTTGTTGGGTTTTTGGTGACCAATTGGGGGGAATTTTTGGGGTATGTTTCGTTTTTCGTCTAAAATCCCCCTGTGGGGGGACGCGCCCGACCTCATCATAGGGTGCTGAAGGCCCATGCGGAGCAGGTCCGCGCCGAAGTGCCCGGCCTCCGCCTGGGCTCATCTCCGTCTGGCACTGGCGTCTCCCGAGGCGGCACGCCCCGCTGCTCTGCAGAGGGCACCCCCTGCTTCTCAGGGGGCGCTGGCCTTCTCTGCGGACCTGGGGGGCGGACGAGGGGAGCACCGACATCGGGCCGCGCTTCGGTGCATAGTTATGGAAGTCGGTTGATGGGGAGGAAGCATGCTGCCAAATCATTTCCAGACATGTTTCAAACATGTTTCAAAATATGTGAAACACATGTTTGAAGCATTTTTAGAACATGTTTCGCACCGTTAAAACACATTTCAAATTCAATGATTGGATTGTTAGAGTGTCCACTGGCATGGCATCCACAAGTGTATAGGGCACCACCGCGCAGGGCGCCCTGACATGCCCGCATCGGGGAAGAGCCGGCCACGCCAGAGGGGGGTTGGAGGGAGGAGGGAAGACTTCCTAGAGGGAGGCTGCTTCTCAGAAGGCGCGGGCCTTCTCTGTGGATGTAGGGCCGGTGCCTCCCAAGGAGCGGCCTCCTTCTAAGAAGCCCTCCCCCCTGGTGCGCGCCGCCAAGATGAGCGGCTGCGCGCCCAGATTTGCTTTAAGGAAATAAGAGAATACATATATATATATATATATGTATAAACTAAATATTAACGGTTTTCCAGTCTCTGCGTTGTTCCTCCTTTTTCTCCTCCGTCTCCTCACCCAGGAGGATGATGAAGAGGAGGAAGAGATTAGGGGGCTGTTGTCGGGCCTGGGGACCATCAAGAATTGATCCAGGATGAAAAGCTACCTTCGGGGGAGGGGTCGGGGCCGCGGATTGAAAAGCTCGTGTCGGATTAGTCATCCACGTGACCTGAGTTCCTGGCGACTCATTTTTGTTGACAACGCGAGTGTTCGCCTGGTTTCGGGCCCCGGGACCATCACATATGGATCCGGCTCGGGACACGGCGCAGAAAGCTGGGGCTAGGGCTCCAGTCGTGATTTCTCGCGATGTCTTATTTTTGCACCGTCAGATCTGGCGAGTGACTTCGACGGAGTCGCCTTTGGTGCGGGCAGGGGTCCCCGCATCATTGGCTTGCGCACTTGGGCGACGCGCCGACATCGGCGCGTAAGCTGCCCGCGTAAGGTCGCGCGCAAGCCCCCTCGCTTCAAATGTGGCGTGCCGCGCAGGCCGCCCGCGTAAGCCACCGCGTAAGGCCGCTACGTCATATCGCTGAAGACCCGTTTTGTATTGTCGCGCCAACACGGGGTCAGCCACTCCTCTCTGGCTGACCTGGGTTTTGGAGCGACGTGGGGCCGATTCTCAGGAGTGGCAAGTCACACAGACACAAGTAATCGCCGACTCCGAGGGAAATTTGGGAAAATATGGGAAGTGGGGTGAGGGCGAAAACGCAAGAAATCTGGGAAAAAACATGGGGAATCCTTGGGTTTGTGTCTATTTATTTGTGTGTCCCTGGGCTCATTTAGATTCCCCCTTTCTGCTCTCCGCTGACCCGGGCTTGGAGGCTACTGAGCGGCCGGCCAGGCTTCGCGACAAGGCCCTGCACATGGCTGGCTCGGGGTTGTGCCGAACTCTGGTAGCCCCCAGAGGCGCGCAGGTCATCGCGCGTCGCGCATCGCGGCTTGGCCTGGAGTGGCTGCCCTTCTCCAGGGCGGCTGCGCGAGGGCGCGAAGAGGCCTGCTCTCAGCATCGTTTAACCGACCCCTGTGCCCATCCGCATCCTCATCCAGACCCCCACCATCTTGGCACCCCAGTTGGGGGTAGATCCCTTCGAGATCCGAAGGAAACAGCCTATATCCCCTATCCATGAGGGGAAATCGGCCCGTGGGGCCCAGGCCACGCCCATAGGGATAGGGATCGGTGAACCGATGCGCACGCGCGTCGCGCATCACGGGGCGCGATGCGCGAAGTTGGGCGACCTGGCTGCGCACACGGACTCGGCCCCCCGCGGCCCTCCGAAGCCGGGCACCAGAGGTCACTCTTTGCCAGGGGTCACCCCTTGCCCAGGAGGGGAAAAAACACACAGACACAATTAATCGTCGATTCCTCAGAAAATATGGGAGAATCTTGGAAGTGGGGGGGAAGACAGAAACACAGAAAATATTGGAAAATATATGGAATAGTTTTATTTGTGTGTATTTGTTTGTGTGTCCTGGGGCCCCTTCACTTGCGTGCAGCCGAGGAGAGAAAAGGACGCCAGCGAGGGGGGGGCCCCGAGCGGCGCGGTGGCCACGCCGCGTGGTGCGTCGGCGGGGGCTCGGGGTGGCCCCACGGGCTTTTGGGCCTCGGGCCGTTCCCCGAGGATGCCTCGGGCGCTTGGGGGGCCTGCCCCCTGAACCGCGCGGCGACGGACTGGCGGTGAGTTCCTCTCTGGGATCTCGAGGTCACCGCGCGATTTGCCACCGCAGCGTCCCCGGACCCTTGGCGCACACACACACACACACACGAGTTCTCGGAGGTCAGCGCGGACCTCTGTTTGTCGGCGCTGGTCCGCCCCCTCCCTGGCGCGCAAAGCGCGCCAGGGGCCCAGCGTTGGTTCAAACAGCTTCGCGCGGCCCTCCGAGAGTTTGTGCCTGTGCCTATTTCCATGGCGCGAACATCGCAGAGCGGAGTTCGTTCGGAAAAACAGAGGATGGGCCCGGAGTGTCCTGGAGAATTTCGCTCCGGATTTCGAGGTGAATGTCGTGCGGTTTTTGTGGCCAGGAATGAAGACCAAAACACATCCACTCGCAGTTGACTTCGTTTTTCGCCCGCGGCTTTGGGAACAAATCCATGCAGAAGTCCATGCAAAAACCCGCTGCCGCACGTCTGCAAGGACGGTGCAATGATATTTTTTTCTCCCCAGGACATCCAACGGTTCGCATTTTTTCCACACCGCGGCTCCCCAGAGGTCTGGACCTTTGTTTGCCTGGTCATCCGTGCCCAGCGAGAGCCTTCGGAGGCCGAAAGCAGCGATAAAACCTGTTGGGGCCATCCGTGGCCGTCTGGGGGCGCTCTTGGGGGCCTCTGAGGCCGCCTGGGGCGATCATGGGCACCTCTTGGGTTCAGTCGGGCCTGTCCCTCTACAGGGGGAAAGTTCAAAAATAGTCATAAAATAGTCGGGGCTATTTGTTTTGTTTTGTTTGTTTTGGACCTAGCTCTTGGGACGTCCTGGAGCGCCGAACGCCCTACAAGGCGAGTCCACCGCTACCCTTCAAGCAAAGCAGTGCGTTGGGGCACCCCGGGGCCCGCTTAGGGGGTGCTTCTGGCGCCGCAGGGCCATACCGCGCGAAGGAGACTCTCGTTTCGGAAGGGCCCAGCGAGAACCCGGGCCCACGGGGCCTGGCGCCCCCCCCCCCGCGCCCTCTTCGTTGCGCAGGTCTGATAGGGGGCTACGCAGTGTGGATGCGTGCGGGCACACGCGGGGCTGCCCACAGCAACAAAAAGGTTCGGCTATCGGCCGTCGCCTCCCTCCCTCCCTCCCCCTAACCGGATAACCTGGGCCACTGTCGAAGCTGATGGTGAGGATGGGCGATATTCCAAGGGTGCCCTCGCGTCCTCCCCCTTCGGTCCATCCTTTACCCCCTTTCGATGGCCAGCCCCGCTCGAGAAGCTTCGCATGGGCGTCCAAGGCCCTTGCATCCTTATCGGGCATCCTTATTCTCAGTTTTGATTGCACCGCCGAAACATTAAAAACGATTCCTTGGCGTCGCGATGTTTAAGACTCGGAGGGGTCTGGGACAGGAGCGCCGCTCCGTGGCGCTCACGCGCAGATCGCCGGGCGCGCGCTGGTGCTGTGGCAGCTGCTGTTGGCGGCTGGCACGCTCGTGGGCGCCTCGTGGCTGACGCTGCTGCTGGCGCTGGCGGTGCCCGTGACCGTGGGCCGGTGGTCGCTGCCAGGAACATGTCCAGTGTATTCTGTCGGCGGCGAGCGAGGGGGGGAAGTGAGAGGGAGGAGGCCTTCTCAGAAGGTGGCGGGGCTTCTCAGAAGCCCTCTGGCCTTTGAGAGGTTTACTGTCCCTTTTGGGAAGGCTTAGGCCAACTTCTTAGAAGGCCCAGGGACTTCAGAGCCTTCTGAGGAGGCCCGCCCGTTCTCACTTCCCGCCCTCGCTCGCCGCCGACTCTTGGTATGTTTGTCCACGATTTGAGACATTCCAGGAAGGGCCTCGCCTTCGAGAGTCGGAGGAGTGGCCACTTTCTCCTCGGTGGAAGGTGGCGGAAGCCTGCGGAAGTAAAACAGAGCCTCCATCCAGTGGCAAAGGGCGGCCCAGACTGAGGGCATAAACATTCGCTATGCAAACATATACACATGCATTAACTTCAGCATGCTTATCAACTGTATGAGTTAGATTTAAATGTGTGCACGTCTCTCTCTCTCTCTCTCCCTCCCCCTCTCTCTCTCTATATATATATATGTATAGACATGCATATCTGCTAGCGGCCGCCACTGATCTGCCTTGGAACGCTGTTGTTGGCTGTATTTGCACCCTGGTTGCGGATCGCGCTGTCTGGCAAGGGAAGTCAAGGAAGGTCAGCATCAGTCAATGCGCCAAGTATGACACATCTATGAAAATATGCGCCACGCTTGCGCACGTAATCCCAGGTGCCGCGCTAGTTGGGCCAATTGCACCAAAGCCTGCCGCTTGATTTCGTAAACCGATCCCTCCTATGCCAGCATTCCCACTTGGCGGAGCGCGTTCGAGCATCAAGCTGCTTACCAGAAGAACCAGGATTTGATCTCGACCCCACGTGCCCCCGCACGTGCCTCCAGCCATGGTCAATGATTTGCGTGCCGCCTTTTGCGTGAATGACCTTGGCGTCAATGGAGTGCGACAGTAGCTGGTCGTACTTCGGCCGATTATGCTTATTACCCGGCTGCTTAATCGGTTTGTGGACCTCGCAACCATGGATCACACCCCGCAGGAACATGCTGTGGCTCACCCTCGGGCATGTAGACTCGAGCCCCGTCGGTGTGCAAATCGGCCGGCCTTCCAGCCTATTTTTGGCCGTGGGAAACCCGTCGGTTTTTCGTCTTCTGATCTGGCCAAGCCTTGGCGTCCGGCTTTCGTATACTCCGGGTTTGGGCGATGCATTTAAAAAAGGAGTATTGGCGACCGCGACCGACGATCCTTGCCCATTGATATCATTTCAGCTTTGCAAGCCTCTAGTGTTGTGACATCTTCGTTCTCAGATCAGGGCTGTCTCCCCGCAGCAAGTAATTGCGCGAACGCTTCAGCCCGATCACGAGGCCGAACAGAACTTTCACCGGTCTGCACAGCGATAACAATGCATGGCCCCACCCGGTAGAAACGATAGGGTGGTTCGGTAACGGTACAGTCAACCTCTGGTACGCTTTGCTCCAGCCCGTGCACGCCCAAGAACATTTTTGTGCTGCTTCGTGACGCAATTATTGGAGCGGCACGGGCATGCATACTTCGACCAATCCTTGAGCAACTCGTCCGCAGGCAACTGCTTTAGCAACGACTTCTCGCTGAGCTTCATTCTCCTGTTCGTATGCCATACCCACGCTGCGCCATCCTAGCGTTGGCGTTTTGCGCCACAGTGGCGAGCACGCTGCGTTTTCTTCAAGATGGTGGACTACTTTTCTTGCAGAGCTTCTGCGGTCGAGAACGCAAGTTGAACTTGCCCTTCCTTCGGGGACACTAACCGCTCGACCGTGGCCCACTCGGCGCTATTTTCACGCCCCGCGCGGACGACGCGCTCCGCTTCTTCGCGGCCTTCGCCGCTTGGCTGCGAGCGGCGCCCAGCGCGCCCATTGGCACCGACCAGGGCGGCGCCCGCCCCGCGCGGTGGAAGGTCGCGTTTGAAATCGCCGCCAGTTTGCGCGCGCCCACCAGATTCTTGCGCTGGAGGTCGGCGCGGCTTGCATCGGATGGGCATGCTCGGGGCGCACCGTCGGCCATGGCTCGCGCCTGCTCGCCGCAGCGGGCCGCGACGTTGTAGTCGTGTTCGTTCTCGCCGACGATGCAGCGCCCATCCCCGCGCAGCTTGGACCTCGGGATAACGGGCGGCGGCGCGGGCGCGCAGTTCCTGCCCAGACTGGCCCCCGCAGCAAACGCGCCCAGGCGCGCGCGGGCGCGCGCGGGCCATCTGCTACGAACGCGCAGTTCACTGATTGTCTGTCGACCTGGGCATCGCTCGCAGCGGGCGCCCCCGCGGCCTTGAGACGACGACGGGAAAGCCCCTGGCGCCCCCGTCGGCGACGCGAGCATGGGCGACGCCGGCCCCGCCAGGTGGCGCAGCCCCCCTCTCTGAACCCACCCCTCGCGATTGGAATTTTCCTACCGCGCAGAACAATCATGCGTTCTGAATCCCCGTCGGTCGACCCCCCCCGCGCCCTCCGGGAACCAGGCAGGGCCGCCCCTGCGCGCTTCCCGTCGGGAACCCGTAATTCCGAAAGCAGGTAGGCAGGCATCTGTCGAAGAACTGAGAGGCGCCCGATGCGTTGCTTAGGGTGAAGTTGCCTTCTTCGCAGCCCGTCGCGCCGACAGAATGGGGATGTCCATCGCGGAGGACATTCCGCTGCCCCATCGAACGCGCGCCTCGCGACGGGCGCGCCCCTTGCGTCGCGCAACATGGAGAACTCCGCTTGCTGCATGAGCGAGCCCCTCTGGCGCGTCAGAGCGAAGTGGAGGCGCGAACCAACGGGGCCGCGTCGAGATGCGAACGCGCCGTTCACGCATTTGACTTTGCATTTCCCCCAGGCGATAGGGGCCGACGGCGTGCTTGATTTGCGCTGACAGGGCCCAAAGGAACTGCGGGTCGTTCTTGGGGGCATCGGCATTTTCCTGGCCGCTTTCTGTGGAACGCCCGATGCTCCACGCAAGCGGCGCGCCGCGCCCGACGCCGACGAACGAGCGCGCGCGTCGCGACAAAACCGGCCTGGGCAACTTCCCGGATATCTTCGGGGAGTTCTTTCCAGAGCAGCGTCGGGGAACAGTTGCAATGTCGACGTCATCGCAGACGAAACCGGCGCCCACCGAAGTCGCAGGGTCACGCTGGAACGCCGCCCCGCGGGCCGGTCGCGACAATTGTTGGACGCTCGGGTAATTCGCGCGCTGCTGCCGAGAAATCAGCTGGCATAGTCACATGCGCGAGATCGGCTGCCCTGCGATGCGAGGAGCTCACAGAAGCGTTGCGCGCCGTCGACTTTGCGGTCGGCGCCCTGCTCGACGTGCCCCCAGAGACTTGCTGGCGCGACACTTTCGGCGGAGTGGCCGCACATTTGCTGCGAGAGCTCGCCCTCGTGAATCATGCCGGCGTCGAAATTCATGAAATCGTCTCCCATCGTCCGCGTCAATGCCCTGCGGTTTTCCGATGGCGCGCCCCATTCTTTGGACGACCTGCGCACTTGTCCAATCCTTGCATGTGTTCAGGATGCCCGTAGGCCCCTCATGGCCAGTCATCGGCATTTCATGCGTGCGCATGATTGAGGCTCGCCCAGCGGATGCAATCGCACCGCAATCTTGCCCTCGCCAGGAAGCTGCCATAATTTGGCGATTTCGCTGATGCGCGCTCCCGCCAAGCATCGGCAGGCCCACCTTGAGTTTCGGCAACTCACGCGTCTTAGTGCAGCGGCCAGTCGACGCTCGATAAATCTCGGGTGACGCCGACTTCCCGCGCCAATTCCGTTTCTGAGATATAGCTGTCGGGGACCTCCGGCCCGCCCGCGGCCATCTGCGCCGCGACCATCCCGGTGAATTCCTCATGGTCTTCTCGTGTGGATCGAGGGGCAGGACAAAGCGTTCGCTGAAAACCGCAGGGGGAACGGCGCCAGGAAGCGTTTGGCATGCGCCCTTCTGGCGCGCGCGCGCCCCGGAGGAAGCTCGACAGCTCGCCATGGTCGGCGAGTGCGTTCTGCTCGGCGCTCATCCCCCGGGGATCGCACGCGAAGGAACCGACCAGCTGGAGTGGGCGGGGGCGTCTCCGAACCGTGTTGTCAACCGCTGAATGCTGCGAGGGTCGCCGTGGATGTTCCAAAAAGACGCGGTTGCATTCCCAGCGCAGGGCGCGCTGCGCCCAGCGGTGCGACGCAGCTGTCCTCGGGCGGCGGGCGGCCGACCCCGCCTGCGACGGAGCATTCCCCCGCGTCATTCTTGATAGGAGCACCGGGCGAGCATTCCTTGCGTCGCGATCAACTTCCCACGAGCGAATCGGCGGGTTTGATTCCTGATGTCCTCTGGCTTCTCACCACCTACCAAACCATCCCAACCCAACCCGAAGGCTTCAATTTGCCTTCCATTTCCAGTGTGGGGGGGTCGGGGAACGTCGAAAAACACATGTGGAACCCATATCCCCCCCAACCCGAAATTCGGGTCTTCGGGTTGGGTTGGGGTGGTCTGGTGGGTAGTCAGCTTCTGAAGCCCGAGCGCAGACATGGCCGTGTGCAAAGGGCCCCGCGCGTTTCCCCGAAACGGGGTTCCCGCTGATTGGGCGTTTCCGCAATTCCCCGCGACGTGGAGCTGGACATGCGGCGCGCCCGCGCTGTGGATTGCCATCGCCTCGACTCCCAGGTCTAATCTCCGGGCTTGGGGGCGACCCGCGAACGCTGTGGATCGATAGTACCCCGAATATTCATACTACGAACACTTCGCCGGAAACGAATGGCAAACATGAATGTCATGCCCCTTGGGGGCCCGTTCCAACGCGCAATGTCCTGTATTTGTTGGTTTTCGGCACTTTTTCTTGCCCTTCGCCGCCTCCACCCCCACCTTTCGCCAGGGGGGCGCAACAGCTGGGCGCGGGCGGCCAGAAACCAACGACACGAAACACAAGGGCACAGGAAAATCACAGTCACCAAGCAAGCACATCAACGGACTCAAGACCCCGAATGCTTTTCGGTCGCAAAGCGCTGAACAACCTCAGGGTTTCGTTGGCTTGTTTTCCAGAGGCGAGTCGGAGCTTAGATGCCGCTGATTGTTTCGCTCGGGGTTTTGATTTTCATGTTTCGGTTCTTGTGGTTTTTTGGCCCCCCGCGTCCAGCGGGGGCGTCTCCTTGGTGAAGGGCGGGGGGGAGGCGACGCTGGGCGGGAGAGGCCGCCGAACACCAACAAAAACAAGATCAATCACATCACAAGGATAACAGTAAAATCATAGCCCCTGGCAAACAAACAACGACTAGTAAGTCCCGACTTGTTGTTGACAGAAAGACAAAAGAAAACTTTGGGCTGATCAGTGTTTCCCGTACGGAAGCTAGTCGGGGCCTTCATGTCGTCAATTTGTTTGCTTGGGGGCTCTGGTCTTCCTGTGTTTCCTTGTGGTTTGATTGATTGGTTTGTTTATGTTGGTTTTCGGCGCCACCTCCCCCCCCCGAGCGCCGCCCGCCATGGGCTGAAACTAACTTGGACAATCAGTTCGTTTTGTAGAAAATTCCGGAGGCGAACACACGAAGCAGAAACATTTTCAGGTAGATCACAGTGGCGGCCCCTACCATACACACATCGACATACACACATTTAAGCATACTTATATACGCATACATGTGTATGTATATATATATATACACACATTCGACTGTATATACATGTGAATGTATATTTGCATACATCGACACCTGTCGTTCAGAGAATTGGTGGCCTGAAAGCCATACACCATACGCTGCGAAGTCCCATGGGACAAGACCCATATAGTTTAGTGTATACACACGCGGCTCCCAGGTGGCTCGTGCGCTACACGCTCGTTGCGGGGTCGCCGCGCGCGTCCGGCGACTTCCTGCCGCTGAGCCTGGGGGTGGTGATGTTGTCGATGGCGATACTGGCGGTGGTCAGCAGGAGGGGCCAAGGTACTGGTAGCGCTGGTCGTCCTGGAGAGTCCTCGTCACAACGGCTGGACTCGCCCCGATTTTTGGTCAGAACGCATCCCATAAGGGGTGTTTGGAGTAGTGGTGTTGGCACATGTTTGTCACCGCAGAGGGCCAGTTGAGACAATGGTAGTTGGCTTTCGGGGATCCCCCATCGCCACGGTTGGGTGAAGCTCGGAAAGCTGATGCGTTTGGACCCCGGGTGGGGTCTCCCGGGGGGCGGCTCTGATCAGCGGGCGAAGAGCGGCATAACATAAGCTCGTCCACGATCAGGGACACCTGTTCCCGAGGGCGGGAATATTGATGCGCAACTTGCTGCCGCCGTGGTACAAACTTCCCAGTTGCCCTGGGTCTGGCGTCCACGATGGCGGGACAGTTTATTGCGAAGGCCTTACGGCCAGCGCCGCCGACCCTGAAGACGACGAAGATGAAAACGAGCGGGGGAGGGTAGGAGGCGGAGGAGGAGGAGTGGGGGTGGGAAGAGGAAGGGTGGAGGAGACAGATGGGGGAGGAGGAGGGGGAGGAAGGAGTAGGAGGAGGAGGAGGACAGGAGGAGGAGGAACAGGAGGAGGAGGAGAGGAGGAGGAGGAGGAGGAGGAGGAGGAGGAGAGGAGAGGAGGAGGAGGAGGAGGAGGGAGGAGGAGGAGGAGGAGGAGGGGGAGGGCTGGACCAGCTTATGCTGTCCTGTCATTTGCCGCTTGAGTCTGCGCCGCCGCTGCCCCCGCCCCCCCCCGCTCCGAGGTCAAGGCCTGGGAGGCCCTGCGCGCGGTCCTCGCCCACGCGGCGCGTCTGGAGCGCCGCGTGCCCTGGCGGCTCCTCCTCTGCGCGGCGTCCTTCGTGGCGATCGCGGCCACGGCGCTGGTCCTCCGCGCGTCGTTTCGCCGATCCCCGTCCCCATCCCCATCCCCATCCCCCTTCGAGGCCCCTGCCAAATTACCACCTCCAGGGGGGGATACGCCCCTCGAATCTCGAAGGGAACGATCTGTATCTCCATCCAGGGGGGCAAGTCGGCCAGTGGGGCCCAGGCCACGCCGCTGGGGATGGGGATCGGTTAAACGATCCCCATCCCCTTCGAGACCCCCACCAAATTCTTCGGGTGCAGCTCCTGGGAGGTCAAGTTCTGAGTTTGCCTGGCCCGGAGTCCTGCTTAGTCCGGCTTAATCCCGCTTAATCCCGCTTAATCTGGCTCAATCCCGCTTAATCCGAGGCCCATTCCGGCGTAATAGCTTCCAAATGGTGCTTAATCCCCTTTTTAACCGTTCCGACGAACACCTCCCAGTAGTTGCCTCCTAACATCCCCATCCCCTTTCGAGAGGCCCGAAGGGAACGGCCTGCATCCCCATCCAGGGGGGTTAAATCGGCCAGTGGGGCCCAGGCCACGCCGCTGGGGATGGGGATCGGCGGAACGATTCTCAGGTCCTGATCCCGCTGGGGCTCGGCATGCTCACGCTCAGGCTGCTCCTGCCGATCGCGAGAGAGGGAAACTCTGCCCGAACATGCGCGGTATCGTATGAGCTCCGCGCGGGTCTCTTGGATCGGCACCGGAGTGCCCCTCCCCTCCGCGGCGCTGGAGGCGCCGCCAGGGGGGCCCCCAGCGCCGATCCCAGAAGTCCGCGTGGAGCTCCGACTCTGCATGTCCGGGCCGCTTTTTCCTCCTCGGCATCAAGACCCCTTCCGTGTATCACTCGCCCATGGTCTTCCTCATGACGGACTGCTGGAGCCTCGGCCTCGTCCTGTGCAAGGTGCTCTCCCGCCTGATCCACACGGGCACCGTCCTGCACGAGCTGCACGAGGCGCGGGGGTCGGTGGTGAAAGGGTGGGAGGGGGCTCGAGAAAAAGACTTTTCCCGGTAAAATCGGACTTACCCCGGGAAAATCGGACATTCCCCAGTAACTCTTTGGGAAGCTTTGAAAGTTTCGATCGTCTCTGCAGGATGGTGAGCGGGGGGGGGTCCCAGGAGCACGAGGCCATGACAAAAGGATGAGGTCGAAGGTGTCCAGGACCTCGCAGAGCTTCCTTCTTTTCCTCCCCCAGGGGCCGCGGCGGAGGCAGGCGAGGGCCACCAGGAGGCTCCAAACCAAAGTTCCCGGGCCGCATCCTGGACCGACCGCAGAATGCGATCACGCTCGCCCCTGACATAAACTTTCGAAGCTTCGGGCGGAGTTCTTGGATCGGCGCCCGGGGCCCCTCTGGCGGCGCCCGCGGCGCCGCTCTCGGCGCGCTCCGCGCACGGAGGAGAGGAGGGAGGAAGGAAGTAGGAGAAGACACATCAGCACACACACACACACACGCACATCCTTTCGTTGCAGCTCCGCCGAGGCGAGAGGGGGGGAGGAGAGAAAGGAGGGAGGAGGATGTGGGGGAGGAGGATAAGGCAAGTTCCAGGGGTTCGATCCTCGGGCGACCCTCGATCGCTCGATCGATCCTCGGGAGGTGTTTCCTCATTCAAGGGAGGAAAAACCATCTGGACCGGACAATTGGCGGCGTTTATTAAGCGGCCTTGGGCGTTCACCAAACAGCCCTGCCCTGTCTGATTCCTTATTTGGGCGCGTTTACTGAACGGCTTCGCGTGCCGGGGTGGTTCTTGTCGGGGTGGATTTGCTGCCCTCTTCTCATAGCAGCCCGAGGAGGCCGTGGTGATCTGGACGGACGCGCACGGTTCGCTCACGGGCATATTCTTCGACCTCAGAGCGCACGGGCGTGCCTGGCGAGGGGTTATTTTTCCTCTCCTGGAGACGCCGTCGTCGAAGTCGTCGTCGTCGTCGCCGCCACCGTCGCCGTCCTCTCCCATGGGCGCATCCGACTCGGGGACCCGGGTGGCGTGGAACACACTGATCCAGGACCCAGGATGGGCCTGGCCAGGACTGGTGACGTGGCCAGCTTGCTTCCCCCGATCCGACGGCCCCGTCTGGCAAGGGGGGTGATTTCTCAATGCCTGAAGACGCCGTCGTCGGAGTCGTCGTCCCCACAGGCCTCCGACGATACGTATGCTTGTTCAGATCCCCTCCGCTTTTCCAAGATTTCGGCTCTCGGGAGCGGCTTTCGGGTTCTGGGCGAAAAGCTGGCCCCGGGGAAGCGGTCGGGACTTCTAGGGTAGCGGATTGGAACATTAGATCGGAGGATGTCTGCCCGTAGGATGGGAGGGCCCGGACGGGGGCGCTATCGGCTGGCTAGGTTGCAAAATAGGACTATGCATGAATGAGTAAGGATGAGCCTGCCTGGATCTGAGCGTCAGTGCTTTGATTAAGGGTGGGGTCTGAGTACGTGTGGGTCTGAGAGTGACTGGATCTGGGTGCCACTTGGTGTGAGTATCGACGAGGGGGAGTACAAGTGAGAGAGGAGAGAGGCGGGAGAGGTGGGTGGGACGGAAGCGTGACGCGAACAACCAGAACCCAACACTCCATGCTGAACATATGGGGACGTCGGAGTTATGGGTCCTCCCTGCCCACCCCCTTCCCCCTCCTCCCTGTCTCGACCCTCCCCTCTTCGGGCCCTCCTCCCCATTCTGTTCCTCCCCTCCCCCCCCCCGCATACTGGCCCGCGTGACGGGGGCGTGGGTGCAACTGTGCTGTTGGACTTCCCAGGAGGTTGTGGTGTTGTATTTGGTCTTCCCGTGGGCCGCCGCGAACACGCTGGTCCGGTACGTGTTGCCGGAGCACTGTCTCTGGGTCCAAGCGTTCCTGTTGATGTATTGCTACCACATCGTGCTGGCAGTGCGCGCCTGGTTCGTTGCCTTGCCAATCGCCAGAGGCTGGCTGGCGACAGTGAGGCAAAGCATTTTCGATGCCAAGTATCTAGTGTCGACAGAGCTTCAGAATTTTCATCCAGTAGAAGCTACAGCCCCCTCATAGCGCGGCACAACAATAGCGAGAAATTCGCCTGCCGATGCTGCAGGCGACTCTTGTAGGTGCTATGTGCGGGTGTCAACCGTGTCGCCTGCAACGCTGACAGAACAAAGCGACCAAGGTTTTCGTAGAGCCAGCGCTTGCCATGCACTCGGAGATGCCGCAGAGACAGGGACCACCCACCAAACCACCCCAACCCAACCCGAAGGCTCAACTTTACCCTCGATTTCTAGCGGGGGGCCGGGAAACATCGAAACAACACATGTGGAACCCTTACCCCCCCCAACCCGAATTTCGGGTCGTCGGGTTGGGTTGGGGTGGTCTGGTAGTTAGGCAGTCAGATAGGGACCACGGGACGCACGCGTTCGAGTGGCAGCACGCACGCCAAGTAAGAGATCGCCCCGCCAGCGGGGGCCCCGCCGTTGGCTCTCTCTCCTCCCCCCTGGGCACGCGGAGCCCCGGGGCACCCCGCGCATCTCGGAGTCGGCGAGCCGGCTCTCGCGCCGCGGGATCCTGTCGCGGGTGCCGGCTGCATCGATTGGAGGACTCGTGACGCGTTGCCACCCCGCCACCATCGGGGGTGGACAGACCTCCTGCCCTGACACGTCGATCAGGGAAGTGGCCGTTTTCGGTTCGCGAGAGGGCGTCGCGGCCGTCTTTTTTTGCGGGTCCAGGTCCGTCGGTTGCGGTCCCAGGCCGTTTTCACGAAAGGGAGGTTTACGAAAGGGAGGTCTGTCCAAAGCCGCCACCACGAACTAGACTGGGCGGGAGCTGCGTGCGCACCCTCCGCGCACACCTCAGCGGCACGGCAGCATGCGGCGCACGCGGATTGCAGAAGCAGACTCGCGGCGCGCCCAGAAGACGAAAGGGTTGTGGCCAGACAGCGCGCTCTGCACAGTCGGGACGCTGAAGAAGGAGCCCCGTTCGTTGGAGAGGGGCTCGGTGTCCCTTGATTGCTTCGCGGTTGCCTCAGGCCCTCCATGGGAAATCGAAGTTTCACTCATGGGAAAACGGGGCCTCGTTCCTCATCTGGGGTTGGTTCCTTTAGGTCAGCGCCCCGACGCTACGTCGCGGCAGCGCGACATCTGCCGGAGGTCCGCGCGGATGCCTTGCATGGAGCGGCTGCATGCCCCCCCCTCCCTCCTTGCTCCCCCGGCGGGCGAGAAGCGCCGGGTGCGGCGCCCGGGCGAGGCCGGAGGTCCTCGGCGCCGATGCAACAAAAGTCCTCGCGGACCTCCGAGGGGTTGCGCGAATCCTCCTCCTCCTCCTCCTCCTCCTCCTCCTCCTCCTCCTCCTCCTCCTCCTCCTCCCTCTCTTCCTTCCTCCGGGGGAGGGGGGGCAGCCCCCGGGGGCAGCCCCCCGACGCCGCGATGCTGTTCGCAAGGTGGCTCCAGAGAGGAGCAATGGCCCCCTCGCGGAGGCCGGCGTCCTGTCTCGAGCAGTGGTTCGACGGCGCGGGCGCGGGGTGAGGGCCCCCAGGGGCAGGACACTGTCGAACAGTTTCGGTCGGCGTTGTTCCACGACGCGATTGGGTTTGGATCCGCGCGGCAAAAGCCGACCCCTGAGAATGTCAACGGGGATCTCGAGCCTCGAGCCCACGACGCGATGGGGGTCACGGCACGGTGTCTTCCAGGCAACCGACGTCGCGATTTTTTCTCACAATGTTTCTCCTCAGAGGTTTGGACCCCTTCCCTGGCACCAGCTTCATATCCCGAGCCGTTTTTTGACGGCCCAAGGGGGCCCGAGGCCGCAAGTTGCCCAGCACCTTCTGTCGTGATCGTGATTTTCGCACGGGAGCCCCCAAATGGTGCGGTGACCACACCGTGCGGTGAGTCCTTGAGAATTCGCGGTGACCACAAGGTTTTGGGACTTGGGTCGTTCTTCGAGGATGTCTCCAGCATTACTAGCCTCCGAGGTCCCAGAACGGTGGCGTGACGCACTGTGCGGCGAGGCCTTTGCGAATTCCGAGGTCACCGCACAGCCTGTCACCACACCGCCCTGGGAGGAGGAGGAGGAAGAGGAGGAGGATGAGGAGGAGGAGGGGGGCCTCCGCGCCAGGAGTGGCCCCCTGCAGGCCTCCCGAGGCCCAAGAGGCGCCCGAAGGCCTCGACGGCCTCGGGCCTCGAGCGACGACGGCGGCGGCGACGACGTTGCCGACGCCGCCGACGGCGGCCACGCCCGCAGGGCCACGACGACCACGCCGCCGCTGCCGCCGACGACGACGGGGAAGGCCTCGCCCTCGGCGCCCCCCCCCCTTCATCGAGGACAAAAGAACCACTAACCCTGATAACGCGATGAAGCCTACCTTGGGTCCCCGCCTTCGCATTAATTAGGGGTAGTAAGTCTGGGAGGGTTGGTTGTTGGATACATCTGCAGGCTTTCATTATCCCTGCTGCCTCTGGCCCTCCTAACCCAGGTTCCCTCCCAAAGGGTTAGGGGCCCTTTTATCGCTGATCACCCCTGGCCGCCCGTTTCCGCGCGCCACAGGTGCTGGACTTTGAGGGCCTGCGAGCGCGGCCAGGGCAGGCCGCGCTCCAGGCCGCCGCTGCCGTCTGCGCCGCCGCCGCCGCCGCCGCCGCCGCCGCCGCTCTCGTCGCCCTTGCAGCCGCCGCCGCGGCCTCCTGAGCGGCCACCGTGGTCGTTGCCGCCGCCGCCGTCGCTGCCGCCGCTGCAGCGGCCGTGGTCGTCGCCGCCGCGGCCGCCGCCGCTGCCGCCGCGGTCGTCGTCGTCGTCGTCGTCGTCGTCGTCGTCGTCGTCGTCGTCGTCGTCGTCGTCGTCGTCGTCGTCGTCGTCGTCGCCGTGGTGCCTGTGACAGGCGGCGCTGGCGCCGGCCGCGCCGGCGCCCGCGCAGGGGAGCCGAGCCCCGGCGTCCCCCGGCGGTGGCCAGGGGGGGGGCTTTTCCTCAGCCTAGAACCGGTATCGTTTCACCTATCCCCATCCCCATCCCCTTCGAGACCCCCTCCAAATTACCACCTCCAGTGGAGGATACACCCCTCGAAGCTCGAAGGGGACGATTGGTACCCCCATCCAGGGGGGTACATCGGCCAGTGGGGCCCAGGCCACGCCGCTGGGGATGGGGATCGGTTAAACGATACTCACAGAATCAGAGGATCGGGGGAGCGTAAGACCCGGGTTTGCCAGGACTCGGGTTCGCCATCGTTTTTTGACGACCGCGCCTCGGATTTTGACGAGGAGGAGTTTCGTGGGATGTCTGCAGCGGGAGGCCTCGTCAAAATGCAGACTCGGCCTCGTCATTTTTTTGACGACCTCGTCGGGTATTTCCGAGTCCCCTGTACCCAGGTCTTACGTCCCCCTGACAGGAGCCAGAGGTCGATGCCTTCCATGTTTTCTCCAAGATTCCCCATCTCTGCCTAGGCTCCACACGGGCTGCAAGCACGAGGGCCGCTGGGTGCCCTGGGATTCCGGGAGCCTGTCCTGAGCCAGCCTTCTCATGGCAGCATTCTCGCCCCATCGACGCTGGTGTTCGCGGAAATTCAGGCAAGGTGACTTACATGGCATTTTCCCCCTCGCCCATTTTCCGCCGCCCGTTCAACCGGCGCTGGATCCAGCAGGCGTGCATCGGGGCTCTAGAGACGGGGGTCGATGCAACCGGGGGTCAGCCAGAGCGCCGGATCTTGCAGGATCCTGCAGGGCCAGTGGTGCATTGACCCGTCTTTGGATTCGGGATCCTTCAGGATCTTGCTGGATCCTGCGAAGCCTGACTGGCCCGGGTTTGGATTAGCCTGGGTCAGTAGCTTAGCTGCTCTGATACCCACGTTTTGAAACGTAAGACGTGCCGTGTTCAAATCGTCCGTGTTCAAAACGTACGTGTTCAGTCTCTGTGTTGAGCTCCGTAACAATACACTACGTGTTGCGTGTTGCGTATCGGGGCAGCTAAGGTCAGCAGATCACCGAGCCGAGTGCAAGCGAGTCCCGACTGGCTCAAAGTCCAGGTTTCCGTACGGGCCTCGCCGCGCCCCCCCACCCGTCTACGCAAGCAAACCCGCCAGGGTCCAGAGGACAACTGCCTCAAGGGGGGGATATGGAAAGGGGGGGTACGAAATCCGCTGCGTGCAGCGGAGTGTCCAGAGGACAAATGCCTCAAGGGGGGGGGATAGGGAAAGGGGGGTCACGAAATCTCCTGCGTGCCGCTGGGTTCGGCCCCGCCGCAGGACCCCTTCCTCGAAACATCGGCGCCGGAAGGCGCCGGGGAAGTCAGCTACCTGCGTGAGCTGCTTCGCTGACCAGGGCTGGGCCTAAACGCTCTTTTGCTGGACTTCGGCTGTGTTTGTTTCGTTGTTGCAAGGAGGTACAGGAAAAAAAGGTCGAGCAACACGAACAACAAAACGAAACCAAAACGAAAAACAACGTTTAGGTCCAGCCCTGTCGCTGACCGCTGACCCCCCTCGACTAGCCCCGCTTCTCGTCCGACCCGCTCCTCTCAGCCTACGCTCCCGTGGGTGTCTGCCGCCACTCCCCGACATCCCCGCGTCGTGAACCAAATCATGGCGGGTCGGCTCTCGGAGGTTATCGCAGGTCTTCCGGCCTCTGAGGGGTGCTTCCCAGCAGCTGCGCCTCGTGGGGAGCGTTCCAGGGGGGCCTGGAGCGCCCCGAGTCGGGAGCCCTGAGGCGGGCGTCGATTCAGACGGGGGTCAGCCAGAGCGCCAGATCTTGCAGGATCCTGTAGGGCCAGGGTCGCGCTGACCCGGGCTTGGGTGCGGGATCCTCCTGCAGGATCCTGCAGGATCCTTCGCATTGACCCGGGCTTGGGTGCAGGATCTTGCAGGATTGACCCGCAAGGCCTGACTGACCCGGGTCTGGATTGGCCCGGGTCAGAAGATCCCCAGCGAAAGCCAGACATGGTCTTACGTCGGGCGTGTCCCTCTAAAGCAGGAGTAGAAGGTTCAAACACAGTCAAGCACTAGTCTGGGGAGGATTTGTTTAGCTGTTTTGTGTCAATGTTTGTGCACTTTTGGACATGGTCGCGTCGTGGAACACAGTCGCGGCGGATGCCCTCGGCAGCCTTCGGCCCCGCCTTGGGGGGAAGGGTCCCCTGATCGCGCCGCCGGGCCCTCGAGAAGAAGCGAATCAAGCCGTGCCCGTCGGGCCACGGGGGCTCCCTGGAGCTCCGCGGGGGCCTCGTGCAGTGGAGTCCGGACGGCGCCTCGGAGGCTCTCTCGGGGGTCTTCTCGCCTCCGGGGGGGGCTCTTCTCAGCAGCGCCTCGTCGGGAGCGTTCTCCGGGGGCGCCTGCATCGCAAGCCGGGGCTCTGGCCCGAAAGCCCGACGTGGTCGCGTCGTGGAACGAGGCCGCGGCGGATGCCCTCGGCAGCCTGCGGCCTTCCCTTGGGGGGGAGGCCCCCGTGGTCGGGCCGCCGGGCACCCTCGAGGGGCAGAGAGCCGAGCCCGCGGGGCGATCTCTCTGGAGCTCCGCGGGGCCTCGTGCAGTGGAGCTCGGACGGCGCCCTGGGGGCTGGGGCTGCGGACCGGTCGTGAAGGGGCCCTGGGGCACAGAAATAAATAGACACAAATCACCAGATTCCCCGTATGTCCTTATATTTTCTGGGTTTTCGTCTTCCCCCCCACTTCCCATATTTTCCAATATTTTCCGGGGAATCGACGATTCATTGTGTCTGTGTTTTTTGTTTCCCTCCTGAGGTCGGGCATGTCCTTCTACAGGGGGATTCTGGACGAAAGATAGAACATAGTCAAAGCAGTAATCAAACATAGTCCAAAATGGTCAAAGCATAAGCCCTCGAGGGGCAGAACGCCGTGCCCGCGGGACGGGGGGTCTCTGGAGCTCCGCGGGGCCTCGTGCAGTGGAGCTCGGACGGCGCCTGGGGGCTGGGACTGCGGACCGGTCGGGCATGTCCTTCTACAGGGGGATTCTGGACGAAAGATAGAACATAGTCAAAGCAATAATCAAAAATAGTCCAAAATGGTCAAAACATAAGCCCTCGAGGGGCAAAACGCCGTGCCCGCGGGACGGGGGGTCTCTGGAGCTCCGCGGGGCCTCGTGCAGTGGAGCTCGGGCGGCTTCTGGGGGCTGTGACTGCGGACCGGAGGTGCGGTAGGTTCAAGTCGGGCGTGTCCCAGGAATCAGAGCCCCCCCCCGGCGGCGCTTCCGGCGCTGGCCCTGGCGCGCTCTGCGCGCCAGGGAGGGGGGTCCAGCGCAGATCCAAGAAATCC